TTTTAAATTTGGATATTTCGAGGTAATAAACATGGTTGGTTTTGAAAATTCGAGGGTCACTTTTTTCGCATTGGCACTCTCAATGTAGATACTTTCACGTCATTTCTAAGCAGTAGCAAAGCTTATAGTGTCGAGGTTTGTCAATGCGGTTGTCACGAGTTTTTTTTCCGTGTTGGGTGTATTCATCACTGCGACCATTACTTTGATCTATCACTATTTTGTGAAGCGACCGACATAGACTGACCAAAAGCATTATCCCAGAAAGGTATTACATTTCGAATGAAATGTACTACTTTACTGGGACCTGCATTCCAAATATCAAAGGGTTCTGCCAGCCCCTTATCCAGAAAAATACGCCTTTTATTGAAGATTGCTGCACAAGAGCATAGCAGGTGTTCAGAGTCTTCCTTTTCTATACCACAGAATCGACACATATCCTCTTGAAGTTTTCCTATTAGCTTCAAATGATATTTACATGGACAATGTCCTGTTATCAAACCAGTCACTGAGATCTTTCTTTGATAATTCAAGAATTTTGCTAGTCATTGAAATGTTCGGAATTATGAACCGTTTCGACTGCCTAGCAATGGAAGTGTTGTTCCAATTGGTCTACACTTTCATTTTTTTCCATTTCTTGAACTCCATTTTAAGAGAACAAGTAGAAACTCCACAGAATGGTTCTGGTCCTATGAATTGCTGAGATGATCCTAGCCTGACTAACGTATCGGCTTTTTCATTCCCTTCAATTCCACAGTGGCCAGGAACCCTATAAAGTTCACTTGGTTTTGACAGGCCAATTTCTCAAGTGACATTGCACATTCCCATACGAGTTTGGAAATGCATGTTGCTGATTTTAAAGCATTTAATGCAGATATTCGAATGTTTATAATTCCTGCGCAAGCATATTACAGAGCATTCAAGGATTGCTTGAATTTCTGCTTGGAACACGGTTGGCCAGTAACCCATGGAGAACCAGTTACCCCTGCTCCCACACGGTTGTTCAATCTTGAACCGTCTGTATAAAAAACAGTTGAACCTGGACGGATGTTTGGTCCCCCACTTTCCCAAACATTACGATCAAATTCTGCTGCATTGTATAAACGATCGAAATTATATTTTTTCTCCATCCAGTCTTCATTTTTTAATACAAGAGAATCAATATCAAACATTTTTAAAATGCTAAGGTGTCCTGTAAGATCACCTCAAAGGAAGTACTTTGTTCGTTAAATCCTTAAAGCGCTCCTTTCAGCTTCTAATTGGATAAATTGATGCAACGGAATCAGATAAAGTAGAGCATCTAGTGAAATACTCGGTGTGCTGTTCATTGCACCAGTTATTGAGAGAGTAGCTACCCGAGCAAAGTCGGTTAACAAAATGAAAGCAAATCGATATGATAGTTTGCAGTTCCTATCATAATGAATACTCATTTTGATTACAATTGTCACGACATTAGTCTGATATCATATTGTGCTTTCATTATGCAGTCAAGACATTTTAAATGAAAGCAACTTAACTTGAAGTTCTGCTGTTAACGTCTTGTTTAAAATTTAATTTAAGCTCATCTGTCGTTGAACTAAGGATTATTGTTTATTTGTTTTGTTTAACACATTTTAGGTCATTCGTATCCAGCCCGAGGTGACATTTGAGCTCAAGTCTTTCAGCGTGAGAAGCTTGGATGCTAACCATTTACGCCAGGCCCGTATTCAGTCAAACATTATGAATGCAAAATCAGTAATCAAATTGATTTCATTGAAAGCAGGATTAGTTTTCCGTTTGATTCAACAGTGTAAAATTTTGCTCTCATTTTTGATGTGTTAACCGTTAAGTCAACCAAAATGAGATCAAATAGAGTATTCAAAATAACTTACATCATAACAGCAACTTCTGATTTCAATTTGATCTCTAACTTTGCTCGGGTAGCCTTTGCAGTCTCCCCAGCTTCTTCTGAGCCGATTTTTCATTAGTTTTCGGCCACCAAACTAATAATGCGTAGGATATTCTGGGTCTTACAATCGTCAAATAAATCCAGTGGATCATTTTTGGTTTTAGGCCCCATTTCCTACCAAATGTTTTTTTACCTATCCAAAGAGCATTTATTGCCTTATTAACAACCTGCTCTATATGTTAATTCCAGTTAAGTTTACTATCAAGAATGACTCCCAGATACTTGACTGTTCGTGAAAGTTCTAAAGAGGTTTCTTTCAATTGTAAGTTCTTTATAGAAAATTTCCTTTTCCGTGTGAACGGTACAATAGTGTTAGGTTTATATTCAACCCTTCTTAAGCGCACCACGACGAAACATAATTTAAAGCAGTTTGCATTCTATTGGAAATGATATTATCAAATTTTCCTCGTACTATTATGACTATGTCATCAGCAAAGCCAATTATCTCGAAGTCCTTTGCTTCTAAGTTTTTGAGAAGTTCGCCAACAATTAAAGACCATAAAAGAGGTGAAAGCACACCTTCTTGAGGACACCCTTTTACAGCTCTAACTGTTATGGATGAGCTTCCAAGATTTGCTGAGATTTCTTTTTTAGAAAGCATCTCATTAATCCATCTAACGATGCCTTTGTCGAATCCTTCAACACATTCCCCCTTATTCTGCGAGTCACGTGACTCTCTCTCACCGGTGAGGTGACAATTGTCACCTCGTGTGAGGTGACTCTCCATGCAAATTATATGGAGAGTCACCTCACACGAGGCGACTATTGTCACCTCACCGGTGAGAGAGAGTCACGTGACTCGCAGAATAGGGGGATTGTTTTTCATGGAGTTATAAGATGCATTATCAAATGCTTCTTCAATATCAATGAATGCTGCTAGTGACATTTCTTTTGATTCAAAAGATTTTCCTAGTTTTGTAACAAGCGTGTGAAGAGCTGTTACTGTTGATTTACCAGCTCGATATTCAAACTGATATTTACTCAAAGGAATTGTAATCAAGTACGTTGATTTTATATGCTGATCTATTATTTTCTCCATTATTTTTAGCATAATGGATGATAAACTGATCGGCCTGAAGGATTTAGAAGAAGTTATCCTTTTTATTAGCCTTCGGAATAAATATAACCTTTACTTGACGCCAAGTTATCGGAATATAACTTAATCTTAAGCTTGCTCTAAACAAGCCTGTTAGAATGGGTGTCAAAGTTTCTTTTCCTTTCTGAAGTAGTACTGGAAAAATTCCGTCCCTAGCTGGTGATTTGAAAGGAGCAAAAGAATCAATCGCCCATTCGACTCGTTGTTCCCGTAAGCGACAACAAGAGGTGGTAAACAAATTTCCGTAAACTTAACGAACTTTATTAACAGTTGTTAAATTTTCCCTGTAGGTTAAATTTTCATCAGTTTTAAGCATAACTACTACTACTGTTAGATGTGTTCTGTGACTTACGTTTAGTGTTTTCCTTTTAATTCCGCAACGTCCGGAAAGCTGTCTTGTACGGTAGTAATTGTTTGGGGATCCTTGAACTAACGATTCTGCCCTGACCTTTGACCTCCAACTAATGGTTTTAAGTAATACGGCAAAATCTGTGCCATAGTGTAAGTTTCAGGTTAAATTTTGAACGAACTAATAAACAGCAATAAATATCTTTTTAAATTCATTTACCTTGATAAATCACTAAATCACTTATGCTAACCAGCTAACTAACTAATTAAATTCACTATTTAAGCTCCGACTAGCTTTTAGATTAGTTTTTAACTGCATAAATATAAAGAAGTGTAAGCACGCGTAACTATGTTTACTTCTGCTGGTGTTGTATATTCTTCGCTTTTTGACGGCTCTCCATTCCACCGAATCGTACCAGTGGCGGTGTGTTCCGATGGGGTTCTGCTGACAGCGGAGGCGCGTTCGCATATTGCGTAACACTCGTTTTTCTGTAAAAATTCTATTGGTCAGATTACGAGCGTCTTTCCTGGCAATCTCTAACCCAGTCGATTCATTCATTGTTGTCTGAACGAGTTCTAGTCAAGGCTAGGCATCTAGGTGGCGGTAATATAATTTGGTTGTAGGTTAAATGTAGGTAATGTCGGCCTACATGTCCCTAATTTGGGCCCATCGCTAAAAGTCTGCTATTTATCAATTTTATCTAGATGAACACGTCATTAGGACGGTACTAATGGATATTTTTGGTCGCTATTGAAAATTTAGTCGATTGCTGAATTTATGTATGGGCCCAAATTAGGGACATGTAGGCCGAAATTACCTGCATTTCCCCTATGTGAACTTGGATTCTAATTAAAATAAAATCATATCATATCCACACACTTAGATTTTTTCGCCGAGATGGGCACCACCGAGCAGCTCGGCATTTTATTTTGCTGGATCTCAGTGAAAAACTTGCCGAGATTCAGCTAACAAACGGGAATTTTGCCGAGATCTCAGCTAACAAACATATTTTTTGCTGAATTTCCAGCAAAATAAAATGCCGAGCTGCTCGGTGGTGCCCATCTCGGCAATAAAATCTAAGTGTGCACCACCATGTTGTAACAACTCGGTTTCAAGGTTAAGCTTGTATAGTGATTATTAGATAATCGGGAAAAGGTTGAATAAACGCTTTTCAAGTTTAACAAGGCAACATGACAGCATAATAACTGTTGTATAAGCAGCGTCAATGAATATATGCAATAATGGCTTGTTATTCCAAAAGTCAACGGTAGTTGAAGTTTGTCAGATTTGCAGTAAAAGTTACCTCATCTTGAGGCTGAATAGGTAAATGAAATTGGCAAAGGGGTTACATTACGAAACAAAATGTTGGTTGGGGTGGCATTTTTAGGAAAACTGGCATTTCACAAACTTTTGCTGAATTCTACCGAAGCATATTTCTCGACGGATTGAGTAAAATGTATCGAAAACAAAAACGGTTTCGCCCCACAACCTGTTGAGTCGCAGGTGTTCCATGGCTTTGTTTTCTTTCAACGTTCTTACACCATCCACCCTGCATTTGTCGTTGGAAATTCTTCGTCTTATCTAAAAATGAAAACAAACAACAGTTTGAAGTGTTTTGAAAAAAGATTTTATTTTATTCATTTCGTAAGTTAATAGAAATAGATAATTTCTGTAATGCATTTTCTCAGCATGCCAGTAAACGGATAAATTTCTATCTCTGTTCTGCATTTTTCACTTCTGAACATCGCTCGTGCTCGGCTGTTCCGTTCAAATAGTTTTCAAGTTCTTCTTGTCGCTCCCATCCGCAGGATTCGCCCATCAAGCAAGAAAGACTCCAATCCACTTGATGGAATCATTGGTAATTGCACATTTCTATTGCGAGCAAAAGTATTGATTTTCATATCATTGCACTAAGTTCATTTTTGGAGATTGATGAGAATCTTCGCTGCTTGAAGGGGCGGATCACCCGGAGGGCGGACCTCGAATCAAAAAAGTTGTTGCTATTTTATTAGTTAATAACTAGTGATGAATAGTTCTTTGAATTCCGATCTCTGTACTTGTGTTAGTCTGTAGTACGTGTGAGTGTGTGAGTGTGGGTGTGAGTATGTGTGCTCAGTAACATCTCAATGACTTAGGCTCTGAACCATTTGGTGGATTATTTTAACTTTTGGTTAAAATTTGACAGATGGAAAGTTATCGATTAACCCTGCTATCCGAGCGTGGTTACTTCTGACAGACAAGAAGTTAAATTTTGACAACCTTGGCTAAGTTCTGCTCGAAAACCGGTCGATCGACAGCACAGGGATTTTCGAACATAGAAAATAACTTTCGAAATGTCACTTTTAACCACGAGTCAAATTTAACTCGGCAAATGGTTCACAGCCTTAGGCTCTGAACCATTTGGTGGATTATTTTAACTTTTGGTTAAAATTTGACAGATGGAAAGTTATCGATTGACCCTGCTATCCGAGCTTGGTTACTTCTGACAGACAAGAAGTTAAATTTTGACAACTTTGGCTGAGTTCTTCTCGAAAACCGGTCGATCGACAGCACAGGGATTTTCGAACATAGAAAATAACTTTCGAAATGTCACTTTTAACCACGAGTTAAATTTAACTCGGCAAATGGTTCACAGCCTTAGAAAAATGGAAAATAAAATCGAACCGATAAACCTGATCTTATTATTTTGTTTTTTTTTTTTGGCGAGACTAAATCTATCACTGATAGACGAAGAGCGTAATAAACGGTGGTTTGTTAAGGGGAGGGACATTCCGAATCAATAGGAATTATTGTAATGTATGTATAACAACGGATGGTGTAAAATCGTGTGAGAGCAGCAATTCAATTGGGGACGAGATAATTTCCGACTCAACAACAGTATAGTGTATAGAAAAATTGGCTCCTAACCTAAGACTCTACGATAGTATTCTTGTTTTATCCATTCATTACTTAGTTTGCATGTACAATTAAATTTGGGGAAAAATTAGCTAGACATTTACGATACGATATAATCTCTAACAGTGGCAATAAGTTGTTAAATATCTATATGCTTTGCTCTTAACTGCCCTTACTCAAGTCTATGACAAATAAAGTTGGAAATTATTCTATACTCAATTTGCATTTCACATTTGTTTTTGTTTTCTTTTCTGGATGACGATACATGGGTGTGTTGTGTGTATAATAGTAATTGATGATGCTTTTGATTTGCTTTAGCTTGTTGTTTTCATTTTCTTTCCATTAAGTACTTACAGCGATAGTCCAATAGGGTTTTTCTCATTTGTTTTCGTTCAATGTGCTGGTAGTGGTCCGTGTGACAGTTAGAAGAGCCGTATGTTATCTTTTTTTATATTAAATATATTGCCTTAAGATTCGCATGTTAAAATAGTTAGCAATGCCTTTGAATTGCACACTTTTATGGTAAATTTTTTATCTTGCACAGTTTTTTTTTAATGTTTCTTTTTCAAACGCAAAAGGGAGGGAGAAAGAGAGAGGGAATCATCAATACATAAATAATAAATAAGTAGGTGCTACGATAACCAAATGCACCAAATGTTATCCGGGTTCAGTGATTTCGTGAGGGAAAAGGGGTATTTTCCTAAAACAAGCGCACGTTTAGTTTTAAATCTTTCTCAAATAAGATAGATCTTATTCCCTATGCTTTACTCTTGTTAATACAATTTCATACAATGATCAGGGAAAATCGATAGTGGACAACATAGAAACAACTAAAAAAATACAACATTTGTGTTTTCCTGTTTTCATCAGATGCAACGTTCACATACACTCTTGCTTGTTTTTTTTTTCTGTTTTACTTTACTTAATAAATTAGATAATTTCTTTGCTAGCAAGTAAAAGTGTGTTTTTTGTTTTGTTTATGTATATATCAGTATATGCTTATAATTATGGGTGTGTGTGTGTCTGTGTGTGTGTGTACTTTAGACGTCGACGACCATCTTTTTGTGTATGTCGGTATTGCCGACCACGGAACAGAACTCTTCGAACGAGATTTTGCCGTCTTCGTCCTTGTCGGCGAACACAATCGTCTTGTCAACTATCTGCTGCAGCTGAGTATCTTTCAGGTTGTTGCCGACCATCATTTTTAGCACCTGTTGATTAAAATAAAGATAAATAGTTCAATTTGGCATCCTATGGAGCGCTTATATAGATGACATAATGAAAGATTGTGTGGCATACGTTCTTATAATATCAATAAATCCTGATTAGCTATTTTCCGGTTTTCCGGAATTTTCCCGGTTGTGCGGTGTGCATTTAAATTAAGCATAAAACCGAACAGCGATTGAGATAGGTTAAATAGGTATTTTTTTTACTGTGCTCACTGCAAACAGTAATTCGATCTGTTGTAATCAGCGAATCCAAACACATAAAACAACTAACGATACAGACAAACCGCTTGCTACGACTACCACGATAAACTCCGTAACACAGCTCGAGCGGAGTGGTAGAAGGATAATGAGAAATTGCTCGCCTGCTTTGTTGCAATATACATGGTTGAAGAGACATCCCGCATAAACAATAACCATAAGAAGTGCCAATTCGTGATATCATCCCAACTTTATGTGGTAGGGTCCTACCGACTATAATATCGTTAGTGTATGGTACCCGTTTATTAGGGATAGCTTGTCCGGTATCGAGACTAGACATAACAAAAAAATACTATTAACACACATCATCTTCGGCTTTACTTCTTGAAGCAACTTTCCAACAATTTGGTCATTTCCTTCTACCGACCCGAGCAAGCTGTGTTGCCGAAATTGTTTGTCACGAAGAAAAAGGAAGAAGATTGCATCATCATTGCTTTCCATTTCTAACAAAGCGTTATTGTTCGGCTCGTTGATCGCTGATCATTTTGTCATTTGGAGATATTTTTGATTCCTTGGCTGTAATATAAATGGACAGCAGATTCTTTCCTGAATTTTAATTTTGTTTCTGCGTTCGAAATCTAAACTTTGTCTATGCCTTAACTACCCTGAAAATTTACTCAGAACTCTTTACACCGCCTGTCACCATTTGAAAGAGAGGCGGGATTCATGGGTGACCAAATGTTCGCGATTCGGCAGGTTCTGCAGAAATGCCACGAATACAACGTGCCCACACATCATTTGTTCATCGATTTTAAATCCGCATACGACACGCATCGATCGAGATCAGCTATGGCAGATTATGCCCGAGTGCGGATTTCCGGATAAACTGACTCGATTGGTCAAGGTGACGATGAATCAAGTGATAAGCGTTGTTCGAGTATCGGAGACACTCTCGAGTCCCTTTGAATCTCGAAGGGGGTTACGGCAAGGTGATGGACTTTCGTGTCTGCTATTCAACATCGCGTTGGAAGGTGTGATCAGAAGAGCAGGGATAGACACGAGTGGCACGATCTTCAGGAAGTCCATCAAGGTAGGTGGTCACTGGTGACCGCCAAAAATGATACCAGCAGAGAAATTCAAAGACGCATTACGGCAACGAATCGTGCCTACTTTGGAATCCGGAGGACGCTCCGATCGAATAGAATTCGCCGCCGCACGAAGTTGACTGTCTACAAGACGCTGATTAGACCCGTGGTCCTCTACGGCCACGAGACCTGGACTATGATTGTGGAGGACCAACCTTGGTGTTTTCGAACGGAAGATGTTGCGTACCATTTACGGTGGAGTGCAGATGGATTAAGGAACGTGGAGGAGGCGAATGAACCACGAATTGCACAAGCTGTTTGGAGAACCATCCATCGTCCACATTGCAAAAATTGGGCGAGTACGGTGGGCTGGGCTCGTCGTAATAATGGCGCACGATGATCCAGTGAAAATGTCTCGAAAGCGGTCCAACAGGAATAAGAAGAAGAGGCGCGCAGCGGGCAAGGTGGATCGACAAAGTGGAAGGCGACCTGCGGACCCTTCGCAGACTACGAGGCTGGCGAAGTGTGGCCATAGATCGAGTAGAGTGGAGACTACTTCTTCGGACAGCAGAAGACAACAAGGCCTTAGCCTGATTGGTAAGGTAAGTGTTTACAAGATTTCTTTGGAATGTTTTCAATAACTTCCTTTAGAATCATTTGCCCATCACATTTCAGAATTCCAGGTTCCAGGTTCAGGTAATTGAATTTTATTATCCTGACGGAAATTTCCCTGACTGAATTTGATAATTCTCAGGACCTCTTGTGCTCTTGTGCTCTTGTGCTTTTGTACATTTTGTACACCTCGTACCGTAAGCAAAACGGTTTTACGCGGCTCGGCTCGGAAGTCAAGATGGCTTCCAAGTCTAATAGTAAATGATCCTCGATCGTGAGTCACGGACGATTCCCTCAGGCCGGTGGCCTTATACCACGTTCACATTACAACCTATATCACGTAATATAGGCTGCCTTGCAATGAGCACTCATACATAGGATTTCCAGTGAAAACTAGATGTATGAGTGCTCATTGCAAGACAGCGTATATCACGTGATATACGCTGTAATGTGAACGGGGTATTAATTGCCAAGGAGGGTCCCGTCTCGGCTCGACCAAGGTGGCCATGCCACGGTCAGCCGATTTTGTCAACGACGGAAGACGCCTGCCAGCCAAACGAGCCAGCAACGCCTGCTGAGCCGTATGTGGCTGATGAACGCCACCAGATCCGCCATTCTCCCAAAGCGGCAACAACACTGTCTGCAGCCCGCGCCGCAAGTTTCCGGCCACACGGTAGTGCAGGAGCAGCCGTGTGGGCCAACGCCAGTGTCGCGACGCCGAAGGAGAATCTGCTGCAACAGTGAGTACCGTACCGTTTATAAACTCTCGCATACACGCCACATATATGTGAAAACCCACACCCACACGCCACAGAATAGGGCAAATAAATGTGTTATAAAATGTGAATATTCCTGTGTGTTTCATACTTTGTCCGCGTAGCCCCTCCGAATACCCAGTAACATGCCGGCCCTGCGACACAGTTCAGGGGTCTCATTCTACTGAGCTAGTTACCCGGGAGTGTCTGGTCATGCCATAGTCACATTTTAATAAGTCTACATTACCTAGCGGAAACATCTTGAATTTGCAGCATTTACCAATACCGCTCTGCATCCTTCTAATGCCAAACCAAACTCGCTTACTTGTGGTTACTTTGAAATTCACTCATTCTCACCATTAAAACCAATGCTCTTCTTTTTAAGATCTGATGAAATCTGACTCTTTCTTCTGCTTTGCGACTCCAATTCAACAAAACCCACACACCATCCATTCACGATTGCACTCAACTGCGTATCCACTTGTGATTCTCCTTAGAATTCTCTAGATAATATTCTTATTCAGATGTCTTTAGAATTATCCTCGGAATTCCCTTAAAACTCTTTTCAGAATTCCTTTGGACCTGTACCTTCAAAAATTTGATTGTCTTTGTATTTTTCGCAAAATTCTCATTAGAATTCACTTAAAATTATCGTTCAAAATTCCACAGAATTCAATACCATTGAAATTTCCTTGAAATTCTCATCTGAACTCTCTAGCAGTTCTTCTGAGAGCTTATTGAAAATATCCAGTGTCCGGGAATCCATGAAGGACCTGAATAACACTGTGGGAGATCGACGATCCGCAGGAACCGTGACCGAACATTGTTTTGGAAGACTTCTATTCGTTGGGGAAATGTCACCAGCGATTCCCATTTCGACTCCAGTTCTTGATCTCGACCCGTCCGTGTAGCGATGCATGTAGTTGGGGTACGATCCGGTCAGCTCTGCTACCGATCTCCTAAGGGCTATGAAATTGTTCCCGGCTCTGAACTTCTCCTTTATCCGACTGTCGATGATTGGTGTGGGAGATTGCCAACTCTTATCTCCGTACCAGTGAATCTGCGTTGGCGATTGTACGGAGAACTCTGTCCCCCTCACTGAGGAGCATGCTTGGCATGCACAGTTGTACACACCAACTGCTCATTTGTTCATAACTTTTCACTCAGTAGTTGGAATTTGTTTTTCTTTAAAGTAATTGATAGATTAGGATCACAGTTTACTATATGTATGCAAAGAGTAGGTAAATCTTAATATTTGAACCAACACCAATGAATTTTTACACTTAAAGTCTGAGCTGTGCAGCGAGCATTTCTCACTTCATTTTTACAACGCAAAAACAAATATCGTTTATTACTAGAATTAAAATCAACTTTTTGTTACGTATCTATAACAAGCTTAAACTCTATTCTATCTACTGCTTCAAAAATAACTATGTTTCGTCAACTCTGTGCAAAGCTATTAGCAAATTAGCAGTTCGTGGCCAAAACTGTGTATGCCAAGCATGCTGAGGAGGCAGATTCTGTTGATTCCGGCGGTATTTGCTGAAAATGCAGCTGTATTGTTGGCAATGGCTGCGTAGATGCAGTACCGGAAAGGGAGAGTGCCGGCTTCGACACATTTGGCATCGGCTGGTGTCAAGACCAGGAGACCGGAGATGATACGCGTGTAGCTATTGTACACCGGAGCGAGTGTTTGTATTGCTTTAGTGGCGATGTAGGTCAGTTCGAGTCCATACATGAGCCAGCTGTCTACGATGGCCCGGGCAATACGGATTGATTGTTGGAGCGGTGGGGATAGGAGATTGTGTGGATGAGGTTGATTCTGCTGCGACAGCTGACCTCGACCTCTAGAAGGTGCTGGTCAAAACTCAGCGACCGGTCAATAACAACACTCAGCAGTTTCCCAGTTTTCTTCAGTGGGATGGCTTAATCACCGGTCTTTATGCAAGCTCCGCAGACCCGATGTCAGTGCTGGCAAACGTGGCACCTACCACTCTTTCTAGCAGACAGCTGAAAGCCTGGCCATGGCGGAAACCCCTGCTTGGGCCCTGATCCTCGTTTGTCCCGGAGTCTGTCCTGTGGCTACGATTAGCACGTCGTCTGCGTACACGAAGATGTAGATGTTCGCTGGTAACCGCTCGAAGACACTGTTTATGGCTACCAGGAACAAGGTGACAGCTATCACTGAACCTTGAGGAACGTCAGTTTCCTCGCAGAAAGTGCGGAAATTGGTATTACCTACAGAGACTCGAAAGGATTTCGGACGAAATTGATAATATGGCCGCTAAGGCCCAAGCTGACGGGTAGCTTTAGTACCGAGGATGTCCATGTA